AACGTGACGTCTTTCTTCAGAAGCTCAGTGAGAAGTCAAGCGATAGTTGCGAAACCTTTCACAAACCTTCTAAAGTAGGAACAAAGTCCTACGAAACTCCGGACGTCTTTGACTGACCGGGGTACAGGAAAACTGGTGACTGCAGGAATTTTCTCCGGGTCCGGCTGCGCACCAGATGCGTCGACAAGGTGGCCCAACACCGTGATTTGCCGGCGTCCAAAGTGGCACTTCGACGAGTTTAATTGAAGGCCTGCAGTGCGGAATATGTTGAGAATAGCTGACAATAGCTGAAGGTGGGTCTCAAATGTTGGGGAATATTCAACGTCATCGTTAAGATAACAAAGACATGATCACATGAACCCCTGTAGCAGAGAGTCCATCATGCGCTCGAACGTCGCTGGGGCGTTGCATAGCCCAAACGGCATAACCTTGAACTGATATAGGCCGTCTGGAGTTACAAATGCAGTGTTTTCTTGGTCTTTTTCGTCGACAGCAATCTGCCAGTGGCCGGAACGTAGGTCTATTAAAGAAAAGTATCGGGCGTCGTGGAGACAATCGAGAGCGTCATCAATGCGGGGCAAAGGGTATACGCCCTTTTTCGCAATTCTATTCAAATGGCGGTAATCCACACAGAAGCGCCACGTGCCATCTTTCTTTTTAACGAGCACAACGGGGGACGCCCAAGTGCTCGAAGAGGGTTCAATAATTCTTTTGTCTAGCATCTTGTTGACTTCTTGTTGAATTACTTTATGCTCGGTGGCAGACACCTGGTATGGTCGCCGATGAATGGGAGGAGAATCACCTGTGTTAATCGATGCTTGACGAGTGAAGTTTGGCTGAGTGGATGGCTGCCTATGTCGAATATGTCGCGGTATGAAGCCAGGAGGCGGCAGAGCGCGGCTGACTTCTCAGGTTAGAGGTCCGTGGCGATCATGGAGCGTAAGGTCCCATCGAGGCACGTGGCATCCTGCGAGTGACGTGGGCAATCGGGACATACGTCTGCCGCAAAAGAAGTGATGTGGTCGTCAATGAAGGGTCTTAGCGTGGCGACGGATATTCCTTGAGGTAGCATTTGTTTTATGAAACTAAAAGTGATAACTGGTAAATATGTTCGGTTAGAGGCCATGGTTATGACGGAGTGTGGGACAGTAATGTCGCGCGCCAGGAGAACATCAGAAATTGGCGTCACAATATAATCACCGTCGAGCACGGGAGAGTATAGCCAATAAAACGAATGTGAGAGCTTTAGGTGGTATCCGGAAGAAGTCAGTGGTGCACAGGATGTTCAGGAGTTCAGGGTGAGAATCCGGGAGAAGAGGAAGTTCGAGGCAGAGCATACCGGCGGCACAATCGATCAGAGCAGAATGCGTCGACAGGAAGTCCATGCCGAAGATTAGGTCATGAGGGCAATTTTGAAGCACCGGAAATAAAACGGGGACATGGCAGCCGGCAATACTAACATGAGCGGTACACATTCCAGTGATGGCCACAGTTTCACTATCAGTGACACGGAGGGCTTTAGTTGCTGCAGGCGTGAGGACTTTTTTGAGCAGGCCACACAGATGAGCACTCATTATGGACACTTAAACTCCGGTATCAACTAACGCCGTGAAAGAAATGCACTTCAATCACGTTCGTATTAGTGGGGAGCGTCAACGGAGGATTTGGATCAGTCGCAATTGATGCAGCACTACCTCCCGGGGCTGCATGATCTAGTTTTCCGTCCGAGAGGATCCATAGTTGACCGGCGACGGATAGCGGCGTGGTTGAGGCGATAGGGAATGGCGGCGTTGAGATGACTGTGAACAAGCGGTGGAGCGGCTGTTAGGGACGTCGGAAGAAGGGTACACGGGACTGGGTGAATACCGACGGTAGTCCTCGTTTGGGCGAGTAGAGGAAAATGGGCTCCAGTTTGAAGGAGTCCAGGTGCTGCGGCAGTAGCAGGAGATATGGCCAACTCGGTGGCAGCGCAAGCAGATTGGTCTATCGTCTGCAGTTCTCCATTCCGTTGGATTGTGCGGTTGCGGAATAAAATGTAAGTCATGGCGTGGTGCATTTATTGTCATTGGCCTAGAGGTTGGTCTGGAGACAGAGCAGGCCACAGGAATACTGAGCTTTGCGATTTCCTGCCTCGCGACGGCTTGAATAACGGAGACCGTTGGAGGCGTTTGTGCGGCGCCAGGGTCAAGTGGATGTGGAGGAAATGGTGCCGGACTTGACTCCTCAAGCTCCTGTGTAGCTATACGTGTCACACTGTCCTGCATGGGTGTTGCGGAACCGAGATCGGTGCAGGTTGATGTAACAGCTGTGTTTGGTAGCCGCATAAATTGAGGCAGAACACGTTGGCTTTTGGCCATTTCGAAGCAGCGGCATTCCTTAGTAATCATGTCTACGGTCGTGACGTTGGTGTACACGAGCAAGTTGAAGGCGTCGTCGGCGATGCCTTGAGTATGTGGCCCACCTTGTCACTCTATGCCATTTGCTTGTCCACTTTTCGGCACAACGCGAGCACGCCCTGTATGTACGAGACATACGACTCAGTTGAGGACTGCACACGAGTGGCAAGTTCTTTTCGTGCTTCCATTTGGCAACCGGACGGGTCCACAAAGAGGTCGCGTAGTCGCTCCTTGAAGATATCCCAGATGGGCGTCGAACCAAACACGTGGGGTGCCGTGCAAGTAAAACATTACGTTGGCGAGCATCATAATAGGGTCCCATCGGTGTGTCTGGCTAACACCCTTGTACATACAGAGCCAGTAGTCAATGTCAAGCCCAGGTTGTGCGGAAAATGTATCCCGGGATCATGGGGCAGGGGCATCGTCAGGTATGGTGGCCGGAGCTACCGATGGAGACGCTGATGGGTTGTTGTCGTTGGTAGCCATGGCCGGAGACTGAACGGTGCGGCCGCTGCGAAGCTTCGTGGTGAAGACGGGGAATGTTCCACCTCCACCATATATGTTAAGGAAAATAAGAGACCCCGTATCGACTAGGCTGTGGATTAGATGTATTTGAAACCAGCGGTAATGGCGTGACCAGTTCACCAGCGATCGAGCGGAGACCACCCTTCGTCTTCCTCGTCAGGCGCACACGCACGTCGCCCCTAGAATCTCAATATGCATGATCCAGCAAAAATGTGCTGTTGTGCATCAAGTATGCTGTTTCTATTTGCTAGGCTGTGTGTTCTGGTGCTATTGTCGCCTAGTGAAAACCAGAGCCGAGTGGCGAGTGTAGCGGAGTTTACTCTCAAGTTCTTAGTTGTGGGTAGCGTGTTCCTCCAATCGCTGTGGTTTTTATGTCGACGCTGCTACGTGCGGTCCCCTGCCCGTGCGCGTTTGCCGTGAGCGAGTAGCTGCAAACATGGAGTCATTTCCCTGCATGCGACGTGTCTCCTAGATGCTAAGGCACATGGGTTGTCAAAATGGGTTCCGTGAGCGACAAAATGCGTGCAATCGATTCCTGGTTTACACACTTTAGCTACTAATTTATTTAGACAAACGAGTTCTCATTGCATCGAAAAAAGCCATCGCACGCGAAATCTCGTGCATTGGCTTTTTGTCTCCACCCTTTAAACACATATAGAGAGAAGCACTTGGTTATTTGCGAAGCCGTGGTGACAGAACGTGCATTCAAACAATTTAAAATGATATTAATAGGCACCTCGGCGCCTTAATCGCGACTCATGACGCGTTGGCTATCGTGTGGCACAGTTCTCACGAATGGGGATTTGACACTGCATCATTCTGTAATCGAAACTCGTAACGAGCGCTTTAAGAGGCATCGCTGTGTGCAGGCTTTGGGCTACACGAGCTTTTAGGCTTAGCTCAATGTCTGTTTGGTGTTTCGATCGACGGCCGTTCCACAGTGTGACTTCGTTTTCTTTCTTTTATTCTTTCTTTGCAATAAAACCGGCCTCTGTATGTTCGACGGTTCGTTTGCATTGACAAGAATTTTTTACCTGCGCTGCGCGGTGTGAGCACTTTACGCGAGTCGCGGCGCGGGTAGCAATCGCAAGTCGATGTATTATCGAGAGTTCCACATCGATGCTCATCACTTAAGATATAAAAAAAAAAGAACTGGCCAACGTGTGCCGTAATAATAACGCGTGGTCGCGCGCGTGGAAAGGCGGTATCAGTACCATTTGCTTATCGCTTAGTGCCATATGCACGCCCTTTACCAGATAGTCGGTGCGGAGAGGTTTCTTGGCTCCCGCGCTGCACTTTTGAAGGGAGTTCCACACGAGGTGGTTGCAAATGGTGGTGTAGCGTGCATTTGTTGTCTGTTGAAAGCTCTTGACGCTATCATGTCAGGCTTTATTTAACAGGGTTTGTACAGTCCTTGAAATGGATGGCAGCAGTTCCTACAGAACAGAAAAAGGCAGCCCCAAACATGGATATCTCAACACAGCTGTTGCATTCTACCACGTTATCAAAGAGCATGTTTAGGTTTTCGTGAAAACGTTAACAGTTATGGAAGAGTGTACTTAGGTTATTATGAGATTATATGCTATTATATAATAGTGTGTTTAGTTAATATGGAAACATTTACAGTTATCGAAAATAGTGTTTCGGTTATTATGAAAATGTTTGCAGTTAGTAACAGATGTCATGTGGTCCAGAAGACAGCTGCGATGCATTGCAAATAGTAGAGAAAATGATTATGTGTCAAGTGCATTAACTGTGAGGGTGCCCTCCACTGAGAGAGGCAGTAACGGGACTGCGCTTCTTTCTTCCTTTTTCCTTTTTTCAAAGCCACTTCTATCAAGTGCATGTACTTGACCACCTTTACACGCAACGCAAAGCTGAATGTGTTGTGCAGGCATCATTATGTGTTTACAGGTGCATGGGCTGACAGACAGTGAAATTCATCTATATATAGATGTATCAGTGAAAACAGACATAAAAGAGTAATCATGGAGGATGATAAGAGTGAAGTGTCTAATTTTATTTCATTCATAATGCTACTTGATAAGTAATTGGGGTGAAATCTGCCTTTTCTTTCAGGAGGCAGGGGCCGCTGCATTAAGTCTGGCAGCCGATGGTACACACCATCGGAGTTTGAAGCCCTATGCGGACGGGCGAATAGCAAGGACTGGAAGCGCAGCATTCGATATGCAGGACGCACCCTCCTGTGCCTTATTGAGGATGGAATCTTGATGCCACATGCCACATCCTGCACGTGTGCTGCCTGCTGTGATGACATGGTCGTGGTATGTTTTTTTACTGAATGTCTTACCCTGCCTGTCAAAAAACACCACCACATGATGCCACTTTAGAGTGACTTAAAGCTCCAGGAAAGGCATGTATGGTCCTCTCAAAGCTTCAAAATCTGACTTTCTCTAGAGAGAGGCCACCTGGCATTCTTATTTGATAGAGCAACTGCCTTTGATAAAAATGTAAAGTTTTGTCCGACGACCAAAATGAGCTTCATTAACACAGAAAGACAATCACTCAGAAAGATTTGACAGCTCATTTGATAAAAAGTTTGTGTCTTTTATTGAAATAATGAGCACTTGCTTTCTAATCAAATTAGAATTTTTATCTACACTTATTCACAACCAGTCACGTGCATGTCCCTTCATTATACCTTACATCATGTCTTCGGTTTTCACCGTACACTAATTTTTTCTATTGTAAAACTTTTGTAAGTGTGGCTGCCCTTGCGTGACCTAAGGCCCGTTTACACTAGAGCGATGTGACACCAATATTGTTCTGGGGACTATCTTTGAGATGATCTTATGTCATGTCGTTGTCCGAGTTACACTGCAATGACACAAACAGTCAGCAGATGGTCTCTGGGAAACTCCGTTCACACCCTGTCTTGCTCACAGCATTTTATTGGCCAATTTTCTAGTCGCACACAACGTACATGTTGTGACACCGACTAAACTTGTGCACCTACTTGTGCTCCATGAGGTCATGGGATGAGTGTGGAGACAGAGGAAGGAAAAGATAATATTAAATATCATATTAAATACTCCCCATTAAAATATTAAATTATTTTCGTGGGGTGCACAAGATGACCATTAAGTCTCTTGCTGGGCCTCCTTATCTCCCCCTCACGAGCTCCCACTTCGTCGTTATAAGTGACGATATGGGCAAATTTTTGCTTCGTCACCGATTTCCCGGCGACCTGCCGACGACAAGTCTGCCTATGCGTTTTGCTGGTGTTTTCCGTCTGCCATCATGTTACACTATGAAAACATGCTGTCTTTTGAGGTGTTGCCATCGTCGTTGGCTTAGTGTGACCAGATGGTCTGGCGACATTGTTGACGGGCGACTTGTCGCCCGATCATCAGTGTCTGCCTCGTAACTGCCTCGTGTCTGCGCAGGTGTCGTGTCACGCTAGTGTAAATAGGCCCTAATGAATTCATGCTGAGTTCATGGTGTTTTATGCTGAAAGCTACATTCCCCACGAGTCCTTCACGGCTGGAATTAGAGGCGGCACACATTTTGTGGCTTGCTCGTTTGAAGTTTTTCGGTGTGTCGCGAATTCACAACACTCAGCAGTAAAAGGTTATGTGTTTCTTCTGCTTCAGTGTTAGTTAATCTGGCTTCACATCTGGTGATATCAGGGCTATGGTGGGGAAAGATATTGGTCTTAGGGTTTATTCCTGGGCCACGACAATGTCTTGAAGGATTCCATGTCATGAGTGACACCTATGCGATTGAAAAAAGACGAGTGATCGATGAGCTTGGGTGCATGCATGGAAGGTTTAGGGGAGCGTAAGGCACATGAATGAAGCTGGTGGCATTGTTTGGGTGAACTCGATGACTCGCCAGCACGCACAAGCGACGAGAGTGATGGGCGTTTAAGTCTGCTGCCTAAGACGCTGACACCACAAAGTGGCCAGTGAACTCGAGGTCAAAAGGAGGCACTTAGAAGATGCAGCAACCATAGCCAGTGAGTACAATCCTTCTGGTCGAAAGCTCCCCTTCGGAAGCGAAGCCACCCAAGGCAGTCTCCGAGTGCTACATCACGAATGGAACACCGGGTGAAACAGCTGACATGACATCATGCCTAAAGGGGACTAGTCTAGTAAAACTCACGCCAGCTATGATGGCCTGACCAAATAGAAACGACGCCCGATTGGACTTTGGCAACGAGCCAAGTCAGCTGCTTCAAGTAGGTCGGCCCGAAGCACCAGCTGAACTAAGCCTGGAGTTTACGAACTTTAATTGGGACAGTTCTGTTACTAATTTAGCTTGTGTCTATTTTCAGTTTGTCTACACTTATTGGTTTTTCAATTTGTACATTTCCTGAATGCAGTGCATTTTCTTTGATAAATGTTTGTTGGACTTTTCAACTCTTTGACTGAGTTTACTGGATGGAAGCCCCAAACCCGTGAGAATCGGCGAGCCTGCCAGGATTGCACTTCTTGCGTGCCTCTGGCTTTGGAGGTCTAGACTATGAATTTTGTTAAGATTCTGAGCTTGGCGAGAAATCGGGGGTATTTAAAGAAAGAGCTGCTGCAGTTTCTTGAAATTGAGCAAAAGCATGTTTGAAGAGAGAGGGAGCAAGCTTGTGCTAATGGTACTCGAAGATAAACTTGGCTCACAACAGGCTGAAGCACATGAGCGCAAATCAATTTTGGCGCAAGCCCAAATGGCATTAGGATGAAGAAAGAAGACCAAGGGAGAATTTAATAGAAGAAGTCACAAGTAATCATTTTTCTTGTTGTGAGGACATGGAAGAAAAGACTACTGATAACAATGTTGATAGTCCTGAGAACAGCCTAGTAATTAGTGAGGAAAAGGAAGTGGTTTGGGATGCGACAGGTGGCAGTAGTAATTCAGTGAGCAGCGATTGTGGTGGAGGTGCTGATTTTGGTGTAAAGAAAATGCTCACGAAACAGCGAGTCATGAAAGAGAGAGACACTAGCTGCTTGTGTCTACAGAAACGGGTCATGTCCATGGAAACAAGCATAGAACATCCGTGAGAGGTGGCCTTACAAATGTGTGAGAGCGTAAGTGTTTGAAACGGTCATGCTGTTATCCACGTCAAATAAAGAAATAAAAGAGAGTCCCTAAAGCATCCCGATTTGTTCGTGGATATCCAGACACCAATAGTGTTATGCATTTGCTTTGGTGCAAACGATTGACTATGATGCATTCTAGGCTTGGATCAGGCATTCGATGATTGCAAAGAACAAGAAAGGCAGTGTCTCTATTGGACGTTCGAGACTGCGTGATGTGAAAAGGCACAGAAGAAAGTGATGAAATGCATGGAAGATGAAAACTAGTAGACTTGAGTTAAGAGTGTTAAATTTCTTCATGTTCTTTACAAGAGCAAGGCATTGTAACGCAGTGAGAAGTGCTGTGAACATCAGGTTTGGATAGGGACAGAATGTTTTTATATAAGATTGAAGTGAAAGTTTGATGAGTGCAGTGTCTCAAGAAAGTGCATGGTGGTGCTCAGCGAACAGTGCGCGGAGAAAGTAATTCAATGCCAGCTGATGCAAGTCTTGACATGTGAAGAAAAGGTCATGCACGGCTGCACTAATGACCGAGAAGCAGTTTTTGATTAAAAAAAGAACTGTTCAAAACGGGAGATGGAAGTGACTGTGGAGGGAGAAAGCATTTCGAAAGAAGAATTTGAGGATAATACCAGATGGTGATCGGTGGGACAGCAAAAAATTACAAAGAAAATGTTAGACCAACCAAGCGAGCAGCATTCGACAAAGCAGAAGGACAAGAAACTGAGAGAAGAACGGCTTCGCCAAATCATTAGAGGTAGCAGAATGCCGCCCCTTCCAAGGGAAGACTACAAGATAATTGTTCGACCTCGAGGGGGACTTCGCGTAAGTGACCACGGTGCCGCCCACATTGCCAACAGCGTCTACGAAGTGGCCAATATACCGAGGGAAGTCCGACAGCAAGACACAATCTGCCTCATCTACCAACGAAACATTGTTGTGGTCAGCACTCCTGTCGAAGAACATGCCAACAGATACCAGCGAATTGCCTGTATCGAAATCGGCACGCAAGCTTTTGAAGCCAGCGCTTATGAAGCAGCTTCAGAAAACACCTCCAAGGGAGTGATCCAGACCGCTAGAAGACACTGCCCGAGATATAACTGAAAATATCGTAAGCCCCAGGAACCCAACTGCACTTGTAACCAAGCGAATGGGCAATACCACCATTGTGATTGTACTATTCGACGGCTACCATGTGCCAAGCTACGTGAAATACGGTGGAGCATCGCTACGATGTTCGTTGTACAGAAAACAACTGGATGTGTGCTACCACTGTGGACGCTTGGTGCATAAGGCGGATGCTTGCCCCAACCCTAAAGATAAGATCTGCCGAGGCTGCATGATGCCATATCCTCCCGAAAGCCACGAATGCAAGGCCAGGTGCCAGCTGTGCAACGAAGACCACCCCACAGAAGACCGAACCTGCAAAGCAAGGTATAAGACACCATTCCTAGTGCGGAAACACCGCTGGGAAAGAGCCAGACAAGAACAAGAGAACGCGTCCTTCGCCGCACAAGACAAGCCATCTCACGCCAACACAGCAAGGGACAACATATCGGAGCCCTCCCCCAGTTTGCCACATGAGAGGAAAAGCCGTTCAAGGTCCAGGAACCGCTCCAGGTCAAAGTCGTGCTCCCAGTCAAGGGCCAAGGAACCCCAAAACCCCGGCGCCGATACATCGTTCAGGGTGAGCTGGGCAAACAGGGTCAAGGGGACGTGCACGGAGACGGAGGCTTCTTCTGACCAGAAAGTCACCAAACTCGAGGCAGAGATAGCACAACTTAAACAAGTTATTCTGCAAAACAATCAGATAATTGGGCATGAGGGAGGAGAATAAAAAATTAAGGGAAGAAATTTATAACTACAGAACAGGCACGGTACAGTGCAATGACGCAATAATTATAAAACAGGATAGTGTAACCAGTATGGAAGAAAGCACTGATTCCTCTCTTCCAAAACGTAAGGCTTTAGAGAGCAACGACGATGGTATTAGCAAGCACAAGAAAACCAAGAGTGCTAACATGTTGCACAAACATTAAGAAGAATATGAAGAATGCGTAGATTTACGAATAAGCAAAGGTGAAGAAGCTGTGAAAGTTCAAATTGAGGCAATAAACGATATTAAGGAAACCATGGGAGCACAAATCAAAAAGTGGGGAACAGCTATTATGCAGAAAATTAACACAGTTATACAACAAAAGCAGGTTCACCAGCAGCAACTAGACTGCTTATTT